CTCTGGTAGAAAACAACATTGAAAAAATAGTGTTTGATAATATCTTCTTTGCTTTTAGTTTTTTATTTTCCAAAGAAAAGAAGTGGGGGAGTGCTGGTAAAGATATCTTGGCCGTTCATTGGCGTTTAATTAAATGAGTATGATTAGAGATGTTTATAAGAGTTTAGCTCTGGATCAATTCGCACATAAAGTTCAAAATTTATTTGCACAATAACTGAAGCTAAAGTCATGTACTTACCCTTATTTTTTATGGGAAAATTATGGATTTGCACGAAAAAAAAAGCGAATTTAGAGGATTCTTAAGTAATTTTCAACAACCCCGACCAAATCTAAAATGGGGGTCATTTTATTTTAAGGGAAGTTGTTAAAAATTATTCCGGAAATATTCGAGAAGATTCTTAGGTTAGGGTTTGGCGACTTTTCTTCAATTAGGTTTTGTTGCTTCTTATGCAAGGTTTCATGCACATTGCGGATGACAAGAGCCCCGGTCTCCAAGTGCTGCCTGAGGAAGAAGACCGTGAACTTGAGGTTCGTTGGGCTGTGATTGGGAGGGGCCTGTGGTGGGTGAAGCCTCGAAATGTCACCACCTAGGTGGAAGAGGAAACTTCAGATGGAGAAGAGGACCTTCTTCACCATTTGTGGCATGCTGGAGAGTGAGATCCGGAAGCAAGGTTGGAGGAGTGCGGTGCCGGTGGATGTTCGACTGGGGGTGACTTTGTACAAGCTTTTCAAGAACACAGATTACTTGGATCTGGCAGACAAGTTCAGCATTGGGAAGTCCACAGCTCATGAGATTGTCATGGACACCACTGCAGTGATTGTCAAGTGCCTCAGGTACAAGATTCATTTTCCTTCAACCGCCAAGGAGGTTTGAGCTGTTGCTGCTGGCTTTCGACAAGTGACAGGTACATTTTCTTATGTTTTTTGGATTGTTATAAGTTTTGATGACCAATAGGAACCAGACTGCCTAATGTTGCTGGGGCGATTGACTGTACTCCGAGATCATCCGACCTACTAGACTGGACAGTGAGAGCTACTACGACAGGAAGCAGCGGTACTCAGTCATCTTGCAAGGGGTTTGTGATGCCCAGAAGAGTTCCTCAGTGTCTACGCTGGGTGGCCAGGTATGTTTCTTTGTGTGTTGTGGATGGTTCTAAAATGTTTTTTTTGCTTTCAGGACGCGTCCACGACATGAGGGTTTTTCGTAATTCAACCCTCAGGAAAAAAATTGTAGCAAGGGAGCTGCTGACATCGTCCACGGTGTTAGCATATGATGATAGGATCAAGCCATACCTAGTGGGGGACAAAGGGTACCAACTCCAGCAGCATCTGATGATTCCACACACATGTAAGTCTTCTTCATTCTACTTTCTTTGGTTCACTTGTTTTGGTTGTTGCTCAGCTCCGAACCTAACACCATCCAAGGCAGCTTTCAACCTTCATCACCACCTTGCTCGGATTGTTATTGAGCAAGCATTTGGACTTCTTAAAATGAAGTTCAAAAAACAAAGGATCCAGTCAAAGTACCTTCCCAACATCATCAAGAGTTGTTGCATCTTGCACAATTTCTTGATTGATGTTGGGGAGACTGATCTTCAGGCGGAGATCCAAGCTTGGAGGAAAGAGGTGAAAAGGCTCAAGGCCCAGGACCTCTTTGTTGATTACGGTGATCCCGAGCAAGCGGAAGGGGAGCCTCGTGAGGAGTTGCACAGTCCAGAGGATGCGAAAGAGGTTAGAGAGAACCTCACGTTTTCCCTCTGTCTTTGCCAGTGGCGTTCGTGTTTGCTTTGAAATTTGCCAGGATATAATTCTAAACATTTGAATTTGAATTTGAAATTTCAAAATTTGAATTAAGT